ATTCGACAGTCATTTTCTGTCCGCGTAGTAGTCTCACCTGCGGCTACATTAGTATGCAGTTTCGGAGCGTGACAAAAAAATGATTTGAATCAGATAATCGGTTTCGGTTTGACAAACTGAATCATTACATTTTAACCTGGAGAACCCAAGAACCCTTTTCTTCTTTGGAAAATGATGAATTATACATTAAATGACCGCTATATCTTCACTGAACACCAAAATATAGGTTTTCTCAAAAATGTAATGCTTTAATCCTAATTTAGGATTAGGGCCAAATTTGACCTTGTGGGATTTAAGGGTAGAAATTGAGTCCTTGAATTATATCGCAGCCCATATGTGAAGCCAGGTATCGAATCGTCTTTTATGAGAGGTGTACGCCAGATCCAAATTGGTTTGAAGTTGATGGCGTTTCATGATCAAAATAGGTGTATGAGCTTCTGGCTACCGTTTATTCCAAGCAATCGGGACACCACGTAGAGGAGAAAAAAAAAAAAGACCTAATTCTTTCAAATTGTGTTAACGTGGCTTTTTGTAATAGGTTTATTCTGCAGCTCAAATCTGGTGCTTTTCAAAGTGGAAATGTCCTCCAAAGTGGAGACTTTTTAAAAGACGTCCTGCAGCCATCTATGTGGTGAAACGACCATGATGTTCAGCTTTCTTGTGAAAACGTTTACCAGTGAGTCGGAACTACAAAGGAGAAAGTTTAGACATTCGGCGAGACAATTTAACTCTTGCAACATTGAATCGACAAAGGTCGTCTGTCCGTCTTTCTCTTTCTTGCTCGGCTCCCCCGATGAGTCTCAAAGCGGCGCTCTCTCACTCCCTCATTGCCCCACGAGGCACCCGGCTATAGGTTGAAGAAGCTTCATGGGAACATTTATCCTCGGCCTACATCCTGCATGTCGTTAAACACGACAAAAGCTACTGCCGTACCATATCAGACAGAATCCTACTCAATCGAACCAAATAGAAGTGTTACATTTTAAAATCGTTACATCCTTGAATATATCATATTCCATTTATGAAGAATTGTATCGATTCATCTTTTGTGGAAAAAGGCACACCCCTGATGCATTTTTTAAAGGACATCCGTATACTCATCAGAGATGTCAGCAAAATTACAAAATATTTCGCGCATCGCTAATATTGTGACTATACCTTCAGTGTAAACTTCAGCTTTCCAGATGCCACGGCTACTCTGCAGGCACGGTGGATTGTTTTAAAAAGCACAACATATGTTAAATCAAAGAAAATACAGCTACCCAGGTGGCACTACCTGATTTTTTTTTTTTTAATTGAAGGGAAAGCAGAGTGTATATTTGTTTAATTATTTCGGGCATCAATGAGACTGCAGGGGTGTCAAACTCATTTTTGTCACGGCCCGCTTTGGGGTTGCATTTTCCCTCAGTGGGCCGATACGACGATATGACGGTGAAACTGAATATATGTTTATATTTTATTACTTGTACACAACTAATTGATGGATTACCAGTTTTGAAACCAGTCAAATCGACTATAGTAGTTTGTTCAATTATTGTTTGAGTGGGTGTTAACAAGGTCACAAAATGATCACAAAAATCTCAACATTATTTATTATACATGACAATTTGACATTTTGGTGCAATTTTAGCAAGGATCATGGAAGTTGGCGCACATGATTTGCTTTCGCGGGCCACATAAAATGATGTGGCGGGCCAGATCTGGCCCCCGCTCCTTGACTTTGACACCTGTGAATTAGAGCCAGGAAAGCTAATCCCAAAGCAGGCGAAAGTACAACTTCTGGGAATTATATTTTGAACGTTATTTCATTATCCATTTGCTACATTTATTGTTTGTTAGTTTCATGTGACGAATTCCTGCCACTCTTCTACGTACAACAGCGCAAAATTCTTAACACTTTGAATTCAGTTTACCGATGCCACGTCTGCTATGCAGGGTTGTGGTAAAAACTGTGACATAAGATGCTTTCAGCTCACTAGTAGTCGCACTTCAACTACTTTTTATTTTTTAATAGTGGAATAAATGGCGCTTATTTCACCTATTTGTTCTGCATCACAGCAACTAGAGCACCCCCCCCCCAATTTTTTAGAAAACAAATCTCACGGCAT